TCATTCAGAACGAACCTAACCGGGACGTGGTTGGTTTCAAAAAGCGTATGTAAACGCATGCGTGACGCTCAGAGGAAAGGATCAATCATCAACATTGCTTCAATTGCTGGTTTGAATCGTGGTCAAGTGCCTGGTGGAGCTGCATATTCATCTTCTAAAGCAGGAGTCAATATGCTGACAAAGGTAAACCATAACCACTTGGCGTTTAATTTTTCTTAATTAAAGAAACCAACTAAAGCTAGACAATCATCTTTGAATTTCTCTTTTCCACTTTGAATCTCTTCCTTTCCACATTGAATTTCTTTACATCTCACTTTGTGGTTATCGTTGCTCTGTTGAATGGGAATATTCCATTTCAACACAGGAATTTTGAAAACAATTGTCGTTGACTTCTACTGTTCAGATATTTGTTTAATTAAAAGTCAGAATTACTTGTGGTTTTAATTGCTCCATGCTAAAAGAAACACGTTTGCTTATTTCATCACTTTATTAGTTTAAAAACTTGAAAGATAAAATTGACATAAAATATTAGAGAACACTCTGCTTTCTTATTTGTTTGTTAGTTTAGGATCAAGATTTATGTGAACAAATTTCTCTACAAAAGTAACCTGAAATATCTTTTACAAATTAACTAGATTCTCTTTTTCTTTTTCTTTTTCTTTTTTGTATATTTCTACAGAAAATTGTATTGTTATTATATTAAATTGGTCTTGAAGTCTTCATAGTAGTAGGACTGCATGTAAAAAAATGTATGGATTTTGTATTCGTAATTCCATTGTGTAATAGTACAAAGTCACCAGAAAATCGTTGATATTGAAACTTGTATAGCCATTATTTAATTGCCTGACAGAAGGATTACCATTATTTAATCTGTCTTGACTTTTGGCTTATGGCTTATGGCTTATGACTTTCTGGCTTTCTGGTCTAGTTTTCTGAAAGATGACTTCACAATGATTAAAGAGAGGCAGATTAAGTTATTTATTTTGTAACTGTGTAATATGTTGTTTGGCAGGCGATGGCATTGGAATTGGGAGCACACAAAATCAGAGTGAATTCCATATCACCTGGACTTTTCAGATCCGAAATCACTGAAAGATTAATGGAAAAAGATTGGTTGAAAACAGTGGCGATGAAAACAGTACCCTTGAGAAGTTATGGTACTTCTGATCCAGCATTAACATCCTTAGCTCGTTATTTAATTCATGATTCTTCTGAATACGTATCTGGCAACAATTTTATCGTCGATGCTGGAGCCACCATACCTGGCCTGCCTATTTTTTCCTCCCTATAAACCAAGCATAATAAACTTAGATTTTAGATTCATTTAACAACCCTTTTACACAAAACCTAAACTAAAATATTGTACTGTAATCAATGCTTCATTTTACACATGTATTACCCCCATATATTTCAGTTTCTTCGCCACTAATTTCATAATTTATCCTTTAATGTCAAATAATTTTATATATAATTATAACTTCTTTTAGATATGATATGTAATGGTGTAAGAAAATAAAATATTTCTGTCCTCTTGGATCATTACAATTACAAGTTAAGTATTAAATAATCTCGCCATATAGATTAAAGAATATACAAACATAGAGTAGTTATACTCTTGCTACAAAATTTAATGCCTTTTCAAAATACATGTTAATAATTTTCTTCAAAATAATACAAGATTATTAAACTATATTATATCATATAAATATACTTTTTTTTTCAAAAGAAACTAAACTTCAGTCCAATATTTACTGGTTAGCACAATCACCACTTACATACTCATCTATAGAAGAAATAACTAAAAACAAAGAGAAATAACAACTAACAAAGGTAAAAACAATAACTTAAATATATACAATTCTCATATAATAATATATTTTCAATTACTACAAGAATGTTGTAAATAAGCTACCATAAAAAAGCGAGAGATAAGAATCAGACGCTAGAAGAGTGGGTTCAACCTTCTCTAACCCACACACCTACATGCACACACGCACACATATACATAATATATATTCTTTTATTATAAGAACAAACCAAAATCATAAATAAGTGCGAATCAAGTAAAAATATTCTTCATAAAAGAGAAATATAAAATTATCGGAATTGCAAGAGACTAATATATATATATCTTAAATGTTTGGAATAAGTTCTTGTAACATTCCAAAATATATAGTATAAACTATATAAATAGTAGTCAATATTATAATATGACAGAACCGTTAAAGACTTGCAGATAAAGAGTTAATCTTACAATCATCCAAAATGACTATAAAATTTAAAACTTTATATACAATAGAATATTTCAAAACTATACAAAACAACTAAAGGATCCTAACTAAACTTAACAGCAGCGTCATCACCCTCCAAGGCATGCTTCAGAGGTACCTTGTCTACCTCTTCTCACATCCAAATGGATGATCATTGCAAAAGAAAACACCACACGAACAAAATACAAACACAAGCAGAAGGGTGAGCTAGATATACAAAAATCATACAATTATAATAGCATATAACATACAAAGTTCACTCAAACAAAGTATACTAGATCACACATCCTAACATGTTATATTCTAGACTTGACTCGTCCAGACTTAGAATGATTGCCGAGATATGGCGGGTTATGCACTCGTGGTGGCCTCTACTACTTTGCAAAGTCGTTGCCAATGGGTTTCACCTTACCACACTCACGAGGTTAGTCTGTTCTGGGCCTTGAGGCATACTAGGAGTCCCCAAGACTAAGACCTACTGCTACTCCTCACGACATGGTTCAATCCTCTCTACTTGAGAATGATTGACCATTGGAGTTTCAGGATAACCCCCAAGACTGAGCTCCTGCATTCACTCTAAACAACCTCGAATCTCACCAAGAGATTCTACAATGAAACTTACATTCACCCCTTTGAATCACATACTTTCATTTGTAATTGAACTCACAATACTTCTCAATTATATACAAACATCCACCTTCAAACATAATTCACACTACACACCCCAAGTAATTTAATCGAACTCAATACAAAGTAATAAAAGAGTAAACGGTTTCAAACCTTTCGCTCTACACACCCAATTCGCAAGGCGAAACCAGGAGTCCCTCGCATAGCGACTTGTCTCGCTATGCGAGTTAACTCGCAGAGGTACCAGACCTCAACCTCTCTCATAGCGGCCCAGGTCGCTATGCGAGAACCCAAACAGAGACCAACTTTCCCAAACCACTCGCTATGCTTCTTTTTTTAGCTATTCGAATAAAATCAGAAATAACCCTAGACCCCAACCAGGCACACAGCGCCCTGATTCGCCATGCGAACCACTGGACAGCGAGCAACCTTCTCCAACCATTCGCACAGCGGCCAAACTCGTGTGCGAATGTCTAGACAAAGAGCAACCTCTCAAGTCATTCGCACAGCGCATCAACTCATTGTGCGAATGCCCTTGACAAAGAGCAACTCATCATAGCGACTCGCTATGCGAAACTATTCGCACAACGAGTATGCATAATCTGTAGAACAAAATTCTGCAGATTTATGCAACTCAACCACAACATACCAATTCTAACCATTTCTCCCAACTTCTAACACTCCTAGATTGTATTATATACTTAATTAAACTTGTTTAAGTAATTCTAAACATGCCTACCACCAATCTAAAGTGATTATGAACCAACTTCAATTCCTCAACTTAAAGACCCAAACTTAATTCTACCACTTTGCACAGGTTTTTGACCATTTAAAAGACTCACACAAGTCACAATTGACTTACCTATACTGCCTAAACAAAACAAATGATCCCCTTACCTCTAACTCTCAAATCCACTACCTCACTTCCTCTAAAATGACCTAAACCACTACCGATTCACCTAACTTTCTATCTAATCAATGTTATAACAGATTTCTCATCTCTAATAACTCAATTACAACAATATATCTTATCCAAATCAATTCACAAACATCAATTCCCAGTTTTACATTTAGACATTCACATACATCCAATTCAATCCACTCCAAAAATACAACTTCTGCTTCAAACAGCAGAATAACACATAACTCAGCATATATTCTTATGCAATACTTTAAAAACAATATTTAACTCCACTTACCTCAGAGATTTACAGCTCAGCTTACAGACTCACCTCAACAGTACCTTACACCGCAAGAAAACTCAACAGAACCCTACAAATCACCAATTGGTGATCAAGAACAGCTCTTAGAGCTAGAATTGGAAAGAGAATGGACAAGAAAACGCACAAGACACATGCAACTAGCAGAGATTGCATGGTTTAGGTTCAGAAACAACGGAGAAAAAGGGATGAACAGCTTACCCGTTAGAATCGAGAAATTGATCGGTCAGTTATGAGCCCTCTACGCTGTGGACGTCTGGGCACCTCCTGATCGTCAATCCAACAACTCAGCAAGAAGGAAAGCTAGAGAGAAGGCATAGAACGAGTAGAGAATGGAGGTTTTAGAGATATGAAGTGTTTAAGATAATGAACCGAACTTTAAAAAGTTCTATTTATATTATAAGATTATTTTTAAAGTAAAAAGCTCGTCTCATTATTTTAATACACCTATCTATTATAATACTCTATTTTCTAGGTTCTTACAGTTGTCAAAGTTTCAACTCGATCAAATAAATCATGAAAGATTGTGAGTGAGGTTTTATAAAAGAAATTAAGAAAGATTGTGAACGAAGTTAAAGATGTATAATATTATACAATTATAAGTTATAAAACCGTAAAACTTTATGTATTGATATTATAAAATTAATTATAAGGTTATAAAGTTATAAAACTCTAAAATTGTAAACCCTGTAAAATTATAATATTAAAATATAAAATTATAATATTATAAGATTATAAAATTATAATATTATAAGATTATAAAATAATAATATTATAAGATTATTTATAAGATTATAAGATATAAGTTAATGTAACATCCCAAAAATATACAGTCATCAACCATATAATAGAATATTCACATATATTAATATATCAAATAAGTCTTACAGTAAGGAAAATAACGTACGCTCTTGACCGAACGACCTTACATAGTTACCTACAATTTTACAAGCGTTCACTAAGCAATAAGAACGAACGGTTTACAAAATTGAGAAAAACACCGAACGTTCCAAAATTTATCATAAACAAAAGGGCGTTCGCTCTAAAACAGCCCGCTAACTTAGATAAAATAACATATAACCGAACGTTCTACGGTTCGGCCTTCACTTCAATCTCCACTAAATTCTCTTCAGCCAGAATTCCTTCTTCAAGCGTTTCATCCAGAGATGCATCTCCCTCTGCTCACATCCACACGGATGATCATTGCAAGGACAAGACGGACGTACAGATACAGACAACACAATGGAAAACGAAGGGTAAGCTTATTGAATTTAATTCAAGTAAAACATACATTTCATAACATATCAAACAAATCAAATAAGTCATAACATATGCTTCAATCAATTCATTCACTCAATCAATTCCTGATACTAGACTGACTGTCCGGACTGTATGAATTCTGTGTAGCTACGACGTTCGTGCACCCAGGTGGTGTAGTAACTGGCATTTATCATCAGCTGCCACCCGAGGTTAGTCCCTTCCATCCAAAGTACCCCTAAGGACTAGGACCTCCTGCCGTTCCCACACATGACATACTCCCCTCTACGTGAGGACGAGCACTCACGGAACATCAGGATGAATCGCCAGCTAAGCTTTGTCCACATTCATACTTTACCATTACAACTTTCATACAAGAGTCGTTCCTCCCTGGAACGCTCGTTCAAAATCCATAACCATAATTTCATCACTTTTACCGTTCACCCATTTTAATATTTCATCTTAATATCATTTCCATCTTCCGTTCTGGTTCCCTAAAAGGACGAGCGTTCAGCCCTCTTAAGAATGAGGACGAACGTTAACACGATAGAGAGAAATCCTTGTTACTGACCATAAGACAACGAACACCTTTCCGATGACGAACGTTGTGACCACTTGAATCAGTTAAATGAACTGATTCTAGAACAATTCGAATAATATTTAAAATAATTTAAGTACAATAACTCTAGGTCGAATCCAAATGGATAGAGACACCACAAATGGTTTAGATAATTATGCCGAGCACGATTTAATTAAAGAGACCAACCGTCAGTCAATGACCGAGCGCGGTAATATATATTTATTGAAGTTTTTGACGAAAGCTACTGAACTTTCGGACGAACGCTATTGAAGTGTTGGACGAACGCTATTTCTACCTGTTTGGTAATTAAGGGAAAGAACGAGCGTTCGGTATAAGACCGAGCGCCACTTAAGACGTACGCTTTGGGTCGAGACCCTTCGCTGATTTGAGTTCATAATAAAGGAAAGTAGTAGGGAATTAAACGATAGTGAAATTAGAATTCCAATTGACTAAGAGTCCAAAT